GAGGAGGAATTATGACATGCTCACCTTGGAAATCCTTCGATTAAAATTACGAAGTCTTTGTTACCGGGAAAAGTGTCACTGATGACATGGTGTTAAGTTGTGAAGTGTGTCAGATATCAAAACAATGTCGTCTGCCTCGTTCTTCTAATAAAGAGCAACATCACAACCCATTTGCATAATACATACAAATGCTTGGGGTCCAGCTTCAGTTTCTTCTCTTTCTGGGTCTCATGTTTTGTGACATTGAATAATGATTGTTTAAGATTTTGTTGGTTTATTCAATGAAACCCAAAGGTCAAGTTCTTGAATTTTTTAAGCAATATCATAAAATGCTTGTTACCCAATTTGATGCCAAACAAATGTCTGGATACCCTCAAAGAAAATGGGATTCTTCATCAAAAATCATTTCCTGCCACACCACAACAAAATGGTATTACAGAAAGGAATAATCACCATCTTTTACAAGTTTCCAGATCATTGCGCATGCACCCAAGTTTTATTGGTGTCATGCTGTCCATTTAGGAGCATAACTCATAAATTGTTTGCCTACTTTAGTTCTTAATGATGTTTGTCCTCATGAAAACTAATCAGGCATCCAGACCCTATTGACCATCTTCTTGGTCCATATACCAGAAAATGCACGAGCCAATCTGGATGCAAGGTCTGTGATGCAATTTCGTAGGATACTCTTATCCTAAAAAAGGCTATAGCTGCTTTGATCCTAAGAAATGCATTATATTTAATTCAATGTTTTATTACGGGAACATGTATCCTATTTCATAAAGACAGATGCACTCTGGGAATGATTTATGGGGGAGCTTGTAATTGCCTTTCCAGTTCAAACCACTCTAAATGACTTTATATCTGAATCTGGTGTCCAACCCACTCCGAGTTTCTCTGTATCAAAACCATAGTTAGCAAGTCTCTATTTAAAACACGATTTTTTTAAAAAATCCCCGATTTTTTGAAATCTGTTAAGAACTCTGAGTTTTTCGTCAAAAATTCGTGGTTTTTTTAATGGAACCGATATAAATCCATACCTTATCTTTTTTTCAAAAAAAAATTCAAAAAACCTTCTTCCCTATAACTTTAGTTCTTCGTAAACTTAATATTATTGAATTTGGTTTAAAGCTAAGCACATGAACAGTCGGAGTAAATAATAATCTTGATTTAATAAGAATTCTATCAAAAATTTCACCAATAAGTTCCCCTAGAAAAATTTATGAAAAAATACAAAGTAATATATTCCCCAAAAAATAAAATATCAAAACAGTCGTATATCACAAAATAACAGATAGAGTTAGAAGAAGAGTAACCCAATGAAATATCTTCTTTTCTTTAAATCCGGAGCGTCCTGCAGGAGACTGATTCAATAAAGGTTGAGGCTAGGAATTTAGTGTGAAATTTGAATTTGTTTAGGAATTTCGTTGCTTTTTGTACGCATATTGAAATTTGATTAGTTTCATTTTCTTTTTTTTATTGGTGTATACAAGATTGCTTTTTGGATGGATCACTATTTTTCATATTTGGGTCTCTGTGTTTTGTTTTAGTTCACTGCCTTAGGGCCTTCTTCTTTTTTTGAACAATAATCCTATAATTTGGTTTACAATTCTTGTTATTTACTAATGTAGTCCTTCTCTTTAGTATTATTATTGTAGTTTCACTTTATGCCCCCACAAAATCTATGATATGTTCGGTGTTCTGACAATAGAGTCAGCATTGTCATTGAATTCATTTATTACTGTAATGACACTAAGGCCATAAAATTGTTGTTCAATAACTTTAATGTATCTATACAATAATTGCAAATCATAATCCTAAAATATGCTATCGTTACATATCTGATTTTTTCATTCCGTTTTTTTAGCCAAATCCAAAATATTCACAATTCTACAACTTAACTTATTTTTTGGTGATCCGCATTTTCTACCTCTAACTTTTTTAAATAAAATCGATTTATTACCAATGTTTTTGTTTGCCAATATATTATTAGTCCCCGACTTGCTAACTATGATCAGAACCATATCCTTCCCTCGAGGATGCCCGAAATAACTACTAATACTCACTTACCCATGAAGGCAAAGGGAACAAGAGCTAGCAAATGAAGAGACATTACTCAATTTGGACCCTATCCAAGAAGCTTCCCAAAGCTTATCATCAATCCCGGAACATAATACATCTTCTTTTCCTCCTATTGCTTTTTTTGTTGAATAATTTCTCCTCCTATCGTTGTTCATAAAGGAAAGTGAAATCCTCATCCTATTCAACATTTAGTGTTGTACATGCTCTCCCTTCTCCAAATCATTCTTTTCATGCTTCCTTTGGATTCCCATTCTGAACCTAGAACACTTCGAGGGGTTGTAATACATCCCATGTGAGGGTCATAATGGAAGAGGAGGTGCATGCATTGAAGGGAAATTGGATCTCGTGAAATTTCATCCTGGCAAGAAGGATGTCACTTTTCATTGTGTCAACATTTACCTACATACCAAATGGAGGCATTGAACATTATAAGGTCCGTATCGTAACCCAAGTATTCACCCAGGCCCATGGTTTAGATTATCATGAAACTTTGCATCAGCAACAAAAATGAGTTATGTCCATTTTCTGATGAAGTAGCAATCCAAAGAGGCCCTTATATCAACTAGATGTCCAGAATGCCGTCACAGTGATTTGGAGGAAGAATAATGCACGTCATGTCTGCCTTTACTCTCAAAGCCCACACCTACAGGTCTGATTTGACCGCTTCATAAAGCATTACATGGGTTAAGCAATCACTTAAGGCATGGTTCAATAAGTTCAGCAGTGCCTAGCAATGTATTGGGTTTCATAGGAGTGGCACAAACTACTCAGTGTTTGTTTAAAAGGCTACCTCAAGCTACTATTATTCTTCTAGTTTATGTTGATGACAGTGTCCTCATAGGTGAATACAAAAAGAGTATTGCAAGTCTCAAGCGATATCTGCATTCAACATCAAGATTTTGTGCTCCCTAAATACTTTCTTGCTATGGAGGTGACTCAATCAACACTGGGGATCTTTAGTGCTCAGCGTAGAAAAAATCTTGATCTACTTAAAACAAATTGGAAGCTGGGATTGGAAAATATTGACTCACCTATAGATCCTAACAGAAGTATGATCCCATTACAGTAGAAGGGATCGTAACCCGGTGCTGGTCCCGCCTAAGCAGGGTACTGGGAGGGGTGGGCTGGAAACGGTCCTAACCTTTGGCTTATGCACAAAGTGGCCGCTCTCAAGACTCAAACCCACACTCTTGCACTGGCTACCTGACCCTTTTACTTCATAGACTTGTTGGAAACTCATTCATTTGAGCATTTCTAGACCTGATATCATTTTTTTGGGTCTAATTAGTCAATTCATGCATTCACTCTGATCAATATATATCAATACTGACACCAGGATCTTGTAATAGCTCAAGTCATCTCCTGGCGAGAGACTTCTGTTTTCTCATGGTGCATGACTTGACTTAGTGGGATACACTGATGTTAACAGGGCACGATGTCCCATTAATAGACATTCAACCACAAGATACTGCACTTATGTTGGAGGCAGTTGGTGACCTAAAAAAGTTAAAAACACCATGTTATGGCCCAATCCAGCACAGAAGCTGACTATCACACTATGGCTTCCACAAAATGTGATCTAGTATAGTTACGAGCAATTCTCTCTGATATTTGAATTAATCTTGTCTCATCAATTCCACTTTATTGCGAAAACCAGGCAGTGACACGCATCGCATCGAACCTAGATTTTCATGAGTGCACCAAACATATTCAAGTTGACTATCACATTCTTTATCAAAAGTGATGGGTAAGCTCATAGAAACTCCACATATAAAACTGAAGATCAGCTAGCTGATATCTAAACTAAAGCAATGGAACACAACCCGCATGCACATGCTTAGTTCCAAGTTGGATATGGTTGACATCCATGCACCAAGGGGTAATGTAGAAGATAGTATCGTATATAATCTGTAGAGTATCTATGTATTGTAGCATTCAGTGTCCCTGGCAATCTAAGGACACATGAAATTACTGTAAATGAATAGAGGGTAAGCACGGAAGTTTAATCTCATTTATATTCTAATGAAATCCCAGTGGACTGTGACTAGGTCCATTTTCATTCTCTACAATTTCTTACTTTACTCTTCACTGTGAAACCCTAGAGTTTCAAATCTGCTAGGTTCTACAATTACAAATGCCCAAAGTTTTTCTCCTTTGGGAGACTCATTCCTAGAAATGAATATGGCATCTAAACATTAAACAATTTAATCATTCACAGCTGCCAAGAGATGGTCGGAGGGATGGGTACTCGTACTAGTACTGATATGATGCAATGAAAATATTTTAAGATACATTTTAGTGGATACATAGTAGGATACAACATCGATAGGCCGTGTGTGTAGTATAGATTATGGAAGCAAAAATGCTACGGTAGGTATAAATACTGATATAGGTATGATATGCCCTCCCTACCTCCCTTCCTGCGAGGGATGGATAAAGAAAAAAACAATTCAGTCTTCTCTACAGTAGCACCATGAATAGCATTATCATATTATCCAGCGCCATAAGCACTACTTTTAGCAGCCAGTATAGCACAAGCAGTTTTAACTTTATAACATCAAATTATCTAGCATTATCAACCAAAAAAACAAAAACTTATCTAGGCTTCCAATAACTTGAAATGCATTCCCATCATGGACAAACATAATATTCAATTGTCAGCCAGCATACATCTTTGAACTGCACTGTTTACAACCATATCAATACAGAATGCACAAACACAGAGCCCACAAACAGATGTCTCAAGCACAAAAATCCCATGTCCTAGCATGGTTTTGCATACAGCATACTTAATTAAACATCTTATTAGTAGTAGGAAGTAAAAGAAATAAACGAAATAAACTATTTGATGCCAAGACTAACCAAATCAAGCGACAGACCATACAATGCACTGATTAGAACACCAGAAGAAGTTTTACCTGCAAATCACTGTAATCAAAGTCACCCAATGCAGCCATAGCATCTAAAATTGCAGCACCAGTGTTCTTGTCTTCCATCTTGCTTTCCTGCAAACAAATCACACAAAATCAGCATTCAAAGAAAAAAGACAAGAAAAAGACAATAATGGGAAAAGAAAAGAATGACGACCTCATAGTCTGAGTCTGGAGTACTTATGATAACTCCATCTGCTGCTTTTGAATACAAGACTTCCCCAACAGCCTGAATTTCACCGTCCTTGTCCAGAACACGGGGAAGGTTAACACCAGAATGGGGGAAGTCTGTTTGCAAACTGATGCTCACATCTCCAACCATACCAGATGCTTCTCGGTGGATTCCCTTGTCAAAATCAGCTTGGGAAACTTCACAAGAAAAGGAAATCCCTTCACCCTTAAAATGGGAAAAATCATAAGCCCTCTGGTCCACCCCTTCAAACTTTATAGGTGGGGAAGAATAACTCATGTGATCCTGATCGATAAGAGAAATATCTTTTGCCAAATTCCTGAAAAATGACCACCGCTGAGGCTCATGGTTAGGCATGTTCAAGCTCACACCAGCTTCATCTTTTACGACACCAGGAGCCACACTGATGCCACTAGGGTCATTGGCAATGTTTGCCCTTGAAAATATATCTGATAGAAGATCGGAAGAGACATTATCTTCAACATCGATAAGGTTATCACCTTGATACTTTGGCGTAGAGGTCACATTCGTCACAACTTTGTGGCTCTCATCAGGCATCGTCCCCCACCATGGCTCATCAAGCACACCAGAAGCCGAGACCTTTTGATGTTTGCTAAGGCTTTCCCACTCATCAGCTGGGAAAAGGGATGCAGGTTTCTCCACATGGTGTGATGTTTGCTGATATTCAGATTTCTCACCGTGGTCTGACACGATTGGACTCGATTGTTTTGCTTGAGAAATCGACTCGGCCAGATCTTTATACCCTTGAAATTGCATCAACCCATCTACAAGGGTGGATGGATTTGGATATGGAAGTGGTGCTTTTGTAGTCAAGATGGTGGGTTCAGTACCCTGAGAGGAGGCTGGGAATTCTTCATGAAATGGATCAATGGATTCCCTCGGAGGATCCACCATCCAATAGTGGGTATTGATAGAATCATCTGATTTAGATAACCGGTTTAGGGAATCCATCTGCGACCTAGGAATCCTCTCTGAACGAAACACTCTCTGAGGAACATAAGGCTCTTGATAGTAGCCATAGTCAAAGAGACTGGCCCCACCTTCTGCAGAGACGGTGCTGAAATCATTATTACTTTCTTGATCTTGGCTTGCAATAGGAGCATCAGATATTGATATGCCATCAGCGTGCATCAGGTCTTCTCTATCTTGACTTGAAGGCACAGGTGAATTACCTTTATCAGGTAGAGGAGTTGCAAAAGGAAGATCTTGCTCCTTAGAATAGCTCAAACCAGGCTTGTTAAGATCGGCATGTAGAGTACCTTGGTTGCGAAGGCCACTGGACTCAACTTGAGGGACAACTTCAGGTTGCTTTGTGGAAAAGATTTCTCTTTGAGGAACAGGGTGTGGAAGAAGAGTTGGAGAAATGAGCTCGTTCTCCAAAGGTAGCATGTTTTCATATTCGGTCCTTTGTTGGGGCAAAACAACCTCCCCTTGTGGTTTCTCCACACCTAACAGTGCATCTCGTTGTTGGCTAGTTTGTATATTTTCAGAGAAACCTGACAATTTTGAAGAGAGCTGCTCATTGAGAGGCTTCTCTGACGAACTCATTCCAAACGGAGGATATTGAGAAGGCTCGACCAACTTAGATGGTACAGAAGGAGGAGCAACCCTGTGGCTATCTATATCATGTGCATTGGTGGCAAAAAAATTATCGTGCCCGCTATCATGAAGCGGGGCAAGTTGGGGTTCCTTGTTAGAAGTTGTATTTGAGAGTCCATCGAAATTTCCACAGGAACTTTGTGGGGTTGGAACAGAAGAGGGAACATTTGGATTGGAAGGAACAGGAATAGTTTGACTCTCTTTCTCTCTCCTCATATCCAAGCTTAGCACTTGATCCAAATGGTGAGAAGATGCACTTCCTAACCCATCCCCACTTGGTGATTTCCTCATCCCAGAGTCTATCCCATTCACCGCCACCACATATTGAAGCTCTGAGCTGCCTTCTCCCCCCCTCATATCAAGATGCCCCTCATCAAATTCACTCGCAGAGAAGAGAAATATCCTAAGCTTCATAGACTGAGTCTGAGACCCCTCGATACTTTCCAAAGCAATGTATTCTTCTAGCATGTTCTGAATATCCTCATCACAAGATACTGAAACCAAGGCATCAAGCTCCTCTCCAGGTAGCTGGTACTTTATCACTGTCGCGTGGTCATAAATGGTTAATATTTTCCTCATGAGTTCTTCCCATGTGATATCTCTCCTAATGCTTATGATCCTTGTGACCCCGCCAACATATCTAAGCTTGCCATCACTAGGCCTAGGCAATATTCTCCCTCCATAGCTGCATAAAAACTTCATCTTCCCTGAAACTGAGCCATCAGAAGTCCCTGAAGAGATATACCCATGCTCTGAATATGGGGCACCTCCCCTATTACTTCCTTCTTCGATGGAATGGCCTCCTGTCAATCTATGGTAGCTACTCGTTCTAAATTCATGCTGAGCCTTGCCCTCACGCTCCTTAAACCGTCCTTTTTCACCACCCCCAAACATGGAAACATCAGACCCACTACACTGAATGCCCAGAATTCCCTGAAAATCTTGATATGTGGTTGTATCGCACTGATTATTAATGGTTTCAGAGGTGGTTACATGATAAGAAACAGAACTAGGTGGGATAAAGGCTTTAGCTTGCATGAACTCAAACTCCTCACCTGTCTGAACTGAGTAGTTCCAGCCTCCCCCACTTGATAATACAAATTCGGGAGGCCTTGGATTTGCATCTGGGACATAACTAGTATCATGGAAAGACTTTGGGCCTTCAGCCCCTGAAAGCCCATCATTCCGTCTATTCATGGAGTTGTATGAATAACTATCAGAGTGGTCCCTAGGGAGCTCTTGTTTTCTTTCCATTTACCCCGTTCAAGTAAACAGGAGACTACCAGAGCAATTCCCATAACATCAACACCATAACCCTCAGACGGTTAGACCTGATCTTTCCAAACCGTTGCAGAACCCAGCGAAGCAAAAGCTTCAGATTTCACATGATAAGATCAATTCGAATCGATCAAGATAAATATAATTCCTCATACAGAGAGAGAATTGCGAAGTTTCTAATTATATACCTGGTTCAACATTCAAAGGGAAAAACAATAAACCACAAGTTAACAGTTGATCGAGCTGAAATGACGGAATTCAAGTTCAAAGTTCAAAGGGAACTAAACAACAGTTTTAAGATGCAAAAATTCCATGCAACAGAAAAAATCAGTGAAACAAAAAGAATGCATATTTGATGACAGGGAACTATACAAGTGACAGAACCAAAAACAATAAGCAATATTATAAAACTAAGAAAAATACTTCATTTGAGAAGAAAAAAATCCCAAAAAAGAGAAGCAGATAAAATGTCAAAAACCCAGATATTTTCTTTTTATTTTAAAATTTTTTATTTAGTCAACCTGAGCAGAGAAATTCCGATAAATCATCCCTTGAAAAAGATGGGTTCTCTGGTATGTTAACTAGAGTTAATACCAAGAAAGAGGAAGAGGAAGGATACAGATTAGTATACCTCAGGAGAAAGGAAGAGACTGGACTTGGGGTTTACAATTTTTCAGGTGAAGAGATGACTTAGGGCATGGAAAGCCTGAATTTATTGACCACCCCCCTCTCTCCTCTCTCTCTCTCTCCTGAGGTATCTTCAGGATAAAGAAATTTCTTCTTTTCTTTTAAAGTTTCTCTCTTCACTGTGTCCAATTTTCACTCTTTTTTTGTTTTTTCTTATTAGTTCGGACACCCGCCCAAAACACGGCTTCTTCTGCGCTCTTTCGCTTCGGACGCGTGATGATTTAAATGGAATTTTTCACGCCGCAGTGTCTTTTAGCGCACTCAACAGAACAACCCAAATTATTATCATAAATTTTGAAAATACCCCTATTATAGTGGCATAAATTTCGTACGTACCCCTGTTTCACCACTAATATCTTTAGAGATTAGTCAATGACATTCTTACAACTATCCATTTTAAATTTATTGAAGAATAATATTTGTAACTTTTTGTATTAAAAATAAATAGTCTTTTAGTATATTTTTGCTTAATAATATCAAAGGTTCTCTTTAAATTACATTACTTGTTGCTCTTCTCTTTGAGTGGACATAAGTTCCATGGAGTGTTTCAAAATTCGAAACTAGATCAAGGTATCCATTCTTGATTCACCATATCCTATGATTCCCTATTCGAATTGGTAGTACAACTCAAATAAAAAAAATTTACTGGGGAATCAATTATTATTCGGTGCCCTTGATTCTCCCCACCCGCCCCCCGGGTGCCTTAATATTCTTTTTATTTTTTTTTGGAGAATCAATGGGGTTCGGGCCCTATCTATTTTATTTGAAAAGAAATAAAGCTACATAGAAAATAATTTTACAAACCTTATAATGAGATCATTATCCACATCATATAAAAGAAAAATGTCTAAGTAATCCGGGGGTTTAGCACGAGCTTCACTCGTGGTAGCCACCCTCATAGCTTGGCAATCAACAACCATGTTGGCCTCTCTGAGAAAATGTGATATCTCCCAGTGTTGTCCTATAAAGGAGGAGAGTCGTGCCTTGCAATTTAGTTGAAGTAAACTATAGCTTTAATGGGGGATCGCATTGATGATGTTGGGCCTACTTTGCTCTTTGATTAGGAAGTAGGGCCATGGTTGAGAGCCACTCTAAATCATTCAAGAACCTACGTGTTTATTTATAGGTTTACTGTTTAATTTTGAGTAATGATACTATGAGACCCTTCCATACCTATGTGAGTAGAACCCCAAAAGATCGTCATTAAATTTTGATACAGATCTCTAGAAAAGTTATCAATAAACCTATTCACTCCAGTACCACACCCATGTGATGACTTTTCTAGAGATTTGTGTTAAAATTTAATAGTGATCTTTTGTAATCCTATTCACATGAGTGTGGGAGGGTCTCATAGTGTGATTACTCTTTACTTATAGGTATATTGTGAGATCTTTGTAGACACATTTTTACTTTATTATTCTCTACCAATACTTAACAATATAGTTAATATCGTTTTAGAATGAATGGGGTTTATTTGAGTCAGCAAACTCATATGTACTCATGCGGCTCCCTGTTAAATTTACCTTAAAATTGGATTTTTCATCCGAAATTAGATTCATCATCTAAACCAAGCTGATTATAAATATTAAAAAAAAATTTGTTTGAATTTTAAATTGTGCTTTTTGGTGGGGATGTTTTTGGCACTGTACATAGTTGAATTGACCCATGCGTTTTACACAACGTCCACCTTAAAGATGGACGTTAAAGAGTCAGCGGGTTCTTGCACATGCGGACTCATGGAACCATTTTCCTTTTAGAATTAGGCTTAGCTTGTGATGTTTATAATGATTGAAGTAACTTTGACTTGTGCTTGATATTTTATGCTTGCTGGATGTTTAAACGAAGAGGTTAAAGTTTAAACAAAACTAATACAACAAAAGGAATTGCTCGTCAGCTCCTCACTGCCACAGTAAAAATAAAACTATACATGGCCCATCACCCTAAAATAGGTCTGGCAATGGGCTGGGTGGCCAGGCCCAGCTCTAAATGAGTAGGACCTGGGCCACAACCTGTGACCTGAGGGGTGGGCTAGGGCCAGTGCCGGCTTAGCCTGGCCCTAAAAAGCCAGGGCCAAGCCAAGCCTAGCCTGGCTCTATGTGGACAAGGCCAGGCTATAGCCAAGGCTGATCCGACCCAAGCCCGGCTAGTTGCCACCCTTACCTAAATCAAGCTTGATAGGGATGGTTTACTAGTGTCAACCCACCTGGTTTTGCTTTCACCAAGACTTATGGATTGTCCAGATAGTTCTTTACATGCAATTTGTATGTAATGCCCCCGCGAGAGAAAAGTGTTTCTGTATATTATGTTGCCATTTGAGTTATAAACACCTCATCAACCATCCAATGTCCAAAACAAAACAAAAAAAGGTTCAGGCGTTTCTATACTAAAATGTCTATCAAGTTCATTAACGCACGCTAACAGTTCATCGTCATGGCAAATGGGAAGATACTCGCAAGCTGTTTGAACCAAAGATGTTATCAGTGTTTAAACAGAGTGATTCCCAATCGGGATTGCCAATCCAAATAGGGTATTGGTGGGCCGTATTTGTTCCGAGATTGTATGGTCTCGTTGTGGTTTCTTCTAAAATCTTTCTTTTTTATAATTTTTTTTTTTTGTTGTTGTTTTTAAGTTTATCTAATATTTTTTTAAGTCATTTAAATTTCCACCCTCTAAACCTATATTTTAATTTTAATAATTTCTAGAATTCGCCTTACTGATGTGGGACTCTGGGTTCTTTTTTGAGTAATTCAGTAGGAATCTACTAGTTTTAAAAATCGTTAGTGGTTTTTTAATGTATTAAGTGAGAATGGAAATATAGACCTCAGTTATGGTATAAGTGGCGCTACCACGACGACCGACCCCAACCCCATTCTCAAAAAATTAATAAGTTAGTGGGGATTTGGGCCCTTACATTTTTTATGAGAATGAAGTCAAAGACCTCATCATAAAACTTGATGAGAATGGAGTCAAAAATCTCACCATAAAACTCGACAGTACTACTGCCAAGGCCCAAACCATTCTACAAAGACTTTGGATTCTATCATAGAATACTTCCCCATGAATCTACAATAAATAAGAGAAGATACCAAAATTTACTCAATTCAAGAAAAGTAGAGAAAATGAATCAACAACAAATGTGTTAACCATGATTCATTGCGATTTACGGGTGATTCTAGGCAGTGAGGCATTTCCATTGTTTGGATGGATAAATTGGGATTTTAACTAACAGATCAAGAAGCTTGGTTCAGATCCATAATGGGGTTAATTTCGGTTATTTTCTCGAACAAAAGTGCCCTTCGAGAAGGGCATGAGCTGCAATTTCAGGCACAAGTAGGGGTTGTTCATTAATGGGCCTTTGGAGTGAGTAGGGCCGACAACTCGAGTATCTCACCTCAACCCTAGACTTTCATTGGTTGCCCTCATTTTTTTAAATCACATGAAAAAAAAAAGGAAAAAAAAGAAACTGAATGAATAAATGACACATGCAGCACGTGGTAAGCACGTCGCTGACACCATCACACATGTGGCGAGCCGCTCGGGCATAATCGGGTTGCACATCGAAAGGGCGGCAGGCCAATGAAACACGCCAATTGGCCCTTTAATATAGCCATTGCCAACGCTGAGTTGAACGGTCGTGATCCAAGAGAGTGGGTTGATTGGAAGAGAATCTTGCCATCTGAACGGCCCATTTTATCAAGTAGGTAGTACATTTCTAGAAATCAAATTTTGTGCTTTCGTTATGTTTTGAGGAAGAACCAGGCTTTATGCCTAGCAAAGTTTTAAAAAGCGGATATGTGATTGGGATCGGCCATTCCAAAAATTGAATATGCTTGGTAGTTCAGTGATTTGGATCGGAGAATCGACTCGATTGACCTGTTTGGCTTTAAAATAATTTAAAAAAAAACACTAAAAATACCTTAAAACAGTGTTATTTGAGTTTTCAAACAAAAATAGAAATGCTTACATTATGTATTCATTATTTTGAGTTTTCAAAAAGAAATAGAAATGCTTACATTATGCACTATAATTATTTTGTAAAAACACGTGAATATTAAGACATATTTTTCATATCTGGATGTATGTTGATTGTTACATTATGTAATGATCTATACTATGAAAATGGGCAAGCGTTCTATTCTTCCCATTATGCATAAAACTTATATATTTTCCCCTATCCAACCATCCATTTTGAATGGACGGCTGAGACGACCCTAATCACAATGTCATGTCTCTATATTGTTTTATTTTTATTTTTATTTATTTTTCTACAAATTATTTTGACACTAAATTTTGGGCATCTACTCCTCTCTTAAACTCTCATTTGTAGAAAATATAAAAAAATAGTTGTAATAAATTAACATGACAAAAATACCTTTGAAATATTCGAGGGTTTTGTTTTTTAGAAATTATATTCAAGGGGTATTTTGGTTATTATATCTTATAAATAAATTCTTTTTAATATTTTTTTTATGAGGGCCCCATTGAGAAAATGGCACGTACCAAATTTCATTTTCATTCAGTTTGTAAGAAAAAAACTAAAAATAAATTACTGTAAGCCATTGAATCTAGATCAAATAGTCAATGGCTCACTTGATCTAAATTGGACTTCTGCATGGGGAGAGAAGTATGTATCTTCTATGTTATAGGGAAAGTATAGAAACCTTTCCCACAAAGAATTAGATAGTTGTTATGTATAATCATTCTATTAGTGACGAAATTATGTAACTTCATTTACATTCATACATTCACATTATTCCTTAACATTGACTATTTCAAATCTTGTTTACATATATATCATAATAATATGATACTACACCCTAAAATTAGAATTATTTGTTTATAACTATGTTACCAAATAAATATGAATAAATCCAAACTGTGTCTTATAATAGGAAAAAGTTTATATAGAGCCGAGGCTCTAAACAATCAAATTAGAACACACATAAAAAATTACACTAGAAGAGGTTGTTTTAATGCCCAAATATCCTCAAACTAATCATCTCGACATCAAGATACATGAACATGGGACACAAAATGGATTTCAAGTTTTAGAAATAGTACATCTTGTAATGTATTTTTGGA